TGAGTGTGCATGTCGCGAGCAGGTACAACTTCCAGGAGCTACTTCTTTACTTCCAGCTTCTTGAGAAAGGGGCTTTTTTTCTTTCTTTTTAAAAATTATGTGCTGGAGCTGGGCAGTGGTGGCACACACCTTTAATCCCAGCACTCAGGAGGCAGAAGCAGGCAGTTCTCTGTGAGTTCGAGACAAGCCTGGTCTACAAGAGCTAGTTTGAGGACAGACTCCAAAGCCACAGAGAAACCCTGTCTCGGAAAAACAAACAAACAAAAAAACAACAACAAAAAAATTATGTGCTGGAGCTGGAAGGTGGTGGCTTACACCTTTAATCCCAGCATTGGGGGGGGGCAGAGTCAGGTGGATCTCTGAGTCCAAGGCCAGTCTGGTCTACGGAGTGAGTTCCAGGACAGCCAGGACTACAGAGAAATCCTGTCCGGCTGGAAAGATAGCTCAGCCATTAAAGGCTAGGCTCACAACCAAAAAATATAAGAGAAACCCTGTCCCAAAAACAGCAGCAGCAACAACAACCAAAACCAAAAAGAAAGAAAGAAAGAAAAAGAAAGAAAGAAAGAAAGAAAGAAAGAAAGAAAGAAAGAGAAAATAGAAAAAAAGCTATATGCTGGGCTGGGCATTGGAGGACACACCCTTAACCCCAGTATCCCAGTACTTGGGAGGCAGAGGCAGGCAGGTCTGTCAGCCTGGCCTACATAGTGAGTTCCATAGTGAGACAGCCAGTAGAACAAACAAAAAATAAATATAATTAGTAGCACAGGATTTTAATCTCAGCACTCAGAGGCAGAGGCACGTGTATCTCGGGATTTGAGGCCAGCCTGGTCCACAAATTGACAGAACAGCCAGGGCTGTTACACAGAGAAATCTGCCTTGAAAAACCAAAATTGATGTGTATGTGGGTTTGTGGGTCTGAGCACACGGATTCGGGTGCCTGTGGAGGTCACAAGGCAGCCCTGGGTGCCCTGGACCTGGGGTCACAGTCTTGTGCAAGAACACCAAGCACTCATGGCTGAGCCGTCTTGCTTCCACTCTCTCGTTTCTGCTGTAGCAGTCCGGCATTACAGATGTTTACCACTGCATCTAGGAGTTCTTGTTTGTTTTTAGCTTGGGTTCTAGGGATCAAACTAAAGTTTTCGGTTTGTAAGGCAAATCCTTTTATACAATGAGCCATCTGGTTGGCCCAGAAAGAGGACATTCTAGGAGTCAAAAAGCATTTATCTTGATTCAAGAGTCCACCATCACTCCCCAGTAGCCTTTTCTATGAAATGAGAAATGGAGTCAGCCACTTTGGTAGTTTTCTTCCATCTCAAGATGTTTATAATTTCCAGTAAGGTCATATTTTGCATCTCCACAACATCTAGCATAGTAGTATGTATTAAGGGAATGCTGAGATAGTGAATAAATGGATGAGAGAACAAAATAAAAAGAAAAACATAACCATAACCACAAGGGGGTATTGATGGTGTTGATCAAAGAAAAAGACTTTAGACTAGAAAGAAACAGGACCTCTTAGAAATAGGACCTCTCAGCCTGCCTCTGCCTCTTGAGTGCTGGGACTGAAGGTGTGTGCCACCAATGCCTGACACAGCAAGCACTTTTAACTGTTGAGCCATCTTTACAGCCACACCCCATTCATTAATCTCCTCTGTAATCAAGAGAAAATAAATTCAATATACCAAAATTACATTTAAATCTATTTTTAAAATGTGTGTATGATGTGTGATGTGTGTGTGCATTTATACTTACCATCTCAGAGTTCACCTGAGAATGCCAGGTGTTGGTCTTGACTCTCTGCCTTGACATGGTCTTTTTGTTGTTTATCCATAGCTGCTGGCTCATGAATTTCCCAGGACCACCTCTGTAGAGGTTTGAATGTCTACAGGCTCCGATATTTAAGCACCGGGACCTCAGTTAATGGAACTGTTTGGGGAGGTTGTGGAACCTTTGGGAGGTGAAGCCTTGTCAGAAAAATGTCACTGGGGGACAGGCTCAGTGTTTATAGTCTCGTCCCACCACTGTTCTGTTTCACATTCCTGGCGCCATGCCTGCCACCATGCTTCCCACCCATGACAGACTCTAACCCTCTGGAAACATAAACCAAAAGAAACTACCCTTAAAAGAACGCCTTGGCCATGACATTTAACCACAGCTACAGAAAAGTGGTCAATGTAGCCTCCCATCTTGCCTGGGAAATCCTGGGGTGATAGGTGCTCTCTCCTGAGCCCAACGCCGCATAGGCTCCTGGGAACTGAACAGAGACGCTCATGCTTGCGTGGTATCTCTTCAGTGAAGTCCCTCCCCAGCCTAAGCTCCACAGTTTTGGTTTTGGTCCTGGGTGCAAGTGATGGGATTGGATTGGAGGAATCCACCAAGCAAGGGAGCACTCTGTTGCTGAGTTGCTATACCAGCATCTAGGCCACCTGAACTGCTAGACTGACAACATAATTCTGACAGAAAAGCATGGCCTCCAGAGATGAGTAATTGGCCTGAGGCAGACTCAGTCTATGATGTCAGCAGGTAGCCCTTGGGTTCTCCTGGCTTGGGGCTGAGCACTACCTTTCTGCCATTCTTGTCTCACCTTCTTCTTGCTCACCTCTGGGGTTCTCATGTGGGTTCAGGACTCTCAGGAAGGCCCCTCGCCTCCCCCAGCACACCAAGAGAATGGAGTATCAGATGCTACTACTATCTGGGCCAGCAGAAAGGTGCTGAGTTGTTGTCAGAATTCTTGAAAAAACATTTCACTCATACCTCCCCATTCCCTGCTCTCTCCATCACAGCTGCTGCAATGAATAGAGATGTGGGCAGGGGAAGGGGTGACCTACTGAGGCATTTTTGCATTTGGGACTGAGCTCATGGGGAGAAGACAGGATGAGGTGTGGTAAACGCTTGTCTTGGGGTCCAGAGCTCCACAGTGGGGCTTGGGACAAGGAATGTGTTTAGGACTACGCTCTGACTCCACGGAAAAAGATGAAGGGGTAGTGGGGGTGGTACAGGTCGCCAGGACTGCGGAATGATACAGTAGGAGAGCTGAAAGCATGCACAGATCCATCCACCTCCAGCCACACAGTGCTGGTGTACCCAGAAACGGTACACAGGAAGCTGTGACTTCCTCCTTTTCCTTTCCCTCCCCTTGTTTGCACCAAGGTCACATGGCACTGCAATGAATTCTTAATTTTAGTTGGCTGTGTTCCCTGGGTGTGATGACAATAGCTGCTCATTGTCCTTCCTTCTACTACAAACACTCTGAACTTCACCTTTGATAGTCCACGCAAAGGCATACAAGGTACTGACTCACCTTAGCTCATCACACCAGAGCAATGGGATATTTTCCTCTAATTTAACTTTTGTAAGGATTTGCTTTTACTTTATATGTATGAGTACTTGTATGTATGTATGTATGTTTGTATGTATATGCCCCACATACAAGCCTAGTGCCCAAAAGACTAAAAGAGGAGTCATATTCTGTGGAACTGGAAGTTACAGATAGTTGTGAGCTGCTATATGGGTTCTGGGAACCAAACTCCGGTCATCTTCAAGAGCAATAAATACTTGTAATAATTGAAGCATCTCTAGCCCCAGTTTAAAAAATGTATAAATGGTATTTACTTGCATACATAGACATGGATGTGCAATGTGCTACTGAATGCTCCCAAAAGTCAGAGGACAACTTCCAGAGTCTATTCTCTCCTTCTACCATGTGGATCCTGGGGACCCAATTCAAGATGTCAGACTTGGCAAGCAGGCTCCTTTATCAAGCCCAAAACCTGTTTGTTTTTGTTTGTTTTGTTTTTTGAGACAGGGTCTCAACATGTGACCTTGGCAGGTCTGGAACTTGTTATGTAGGCCAAGCTGAGGGAGTCAGCACCATCAAACCCGGTCTTTAAATCATTTAATCTTGTGTTTTAAATTTGGTGGTGTTAAGAATGCATACCACTGTGCATCTATAAAGGTCAAGAGAGAACTCTGGTGCCTGCTCTCTCCTTCTACCTTTATGTAGGTTTCAGGGACTAAACTCAGCTCAGCAGCCTTGCACTACAAGGGTCTTTACCCACTGAACCCTCTCCATGGCCCTATTTATTTAGTGTTTTGAGACTATGTCTTGTTATTGCCAAGGTTGGCCTTCAAGTGTTGGGCTCCAGTGATCCAGTTGCCTTGCAGATAGCAGTGACCACAGGCATTTGGCAACCCCACTGATTTTTTTTTTTTTTTTTTTTTTTTTTTTTGTATATTTTCTTTTTAACATTCTGGGTAGGGGTACAGAGAGAGAGAGATTGAGAGAGAGAGAGACAGACAGAGGAAAGGAGAGGAGAGGGAGGGGGGAGAAGAGAGAAAGAGAGAGATACTACAGCATGACTGGAGATCAGTGGGAAGTTTGTGTCAGTTCTAGCCTTCCCCTGTGTGGATGCTGGAGACGGAAGTCATCAGGCTTGGCAGAAGGCCCCTTTACCTATGGAGAACTATCTCTCTGGACTGAGCTTTGATACTTTCAGCCTGAAGTTAATGCAAGCCGCTCAAAAGGACACAGCAGCTGTGGGACATCAGACACGTCTGTTCCTGTCATTCTCTGACTTCCATTGTGATTTAACTTCACATTCCTTCCCGAGCCTGTTCCAAGAGCTCTCCTTTTAGCAGAGGGCTCTCTGCACTCTGCTCACAGGGACTTCTGGTTTGGTTCTGTCGTTCCAGACATCTCCGGTTTCTCTCCTTTCCTCTCTGTTATGCACATGTTTGCAGTATGGACACATCCCTCCCTTGTACTGCGCCACCCAGGACCGTTGTCCAACAGGGAAGAGGTAGGCTGTTCTACCCACACCCCTCCCTCTTAGGTGTGAGCACAGGCAGGGGCTCCTGCAACTTAAAGCTCCAGACCAACACCCAGATTCCAGGTCCTCTCCGCTCTCCTGCTAAGACTGCTGTGGCGCCTGCCAGTCCAGCAGACAGGCAGGCACTTGCTGGCCCTTCTGCTCTGCTCCAGCAACTTCCAATGCCTTGTGATGGCCACATCCAATTCTTCTGCCTCTCTGCCCACCCTCTTCGGGGTCAATGGCTCTGGAGACAGCGTGCTGAGTACTGACGGTGCTGCAATGCCTGCCCAGTTCCTTGCTCTGAGGATCATGGTTGCACTGGCCTACGGACTTGTAGGTATCACCGGCCTGCTGGGAAATTTAGCTGTGCTGTGGGTGCTAGGTAACTGTGCTCAGCGTGCACCTGGCCCACCTTCTGACACCTTTGTCTTCAGCCTGGCTCTGGCAGACCTGGGACTGGCCCTCACTCTCCCTTTCTGGGCAACCGAGTCAGCACTGGACTTCCACTGGCCTTTTGGAAGTGCCCTCTGCAAGATAGTCCTGACGACCACTGTCCTCAGCATCTATGCTAGCATCTTCCTAATCACAGCACTGAGTGTTGCCAGATACTGGGTGGTGGCAATGGCTGTGGGACCAGGCAGTCACCTTTCTGTCTTCTGGGCCCGTGTGGTCACCTTGGCAGTGTGGGCAGCAGCTGCCCTGATGACTGTACCCACAGCAATCTTTGGGGCTGAGGGTGAGTTGTGGGGTGTGCACCTCTGCCTTCTGCGTTTTCCCAGCAGATACTGGCTGGGGGCATACCAGCTACAGAGGGTAATCCTGGCCTTCGTTGTGCCCTTGGGCATCATCACCACCAGCTACCTGCTGTTGCTGGCCTTTCTACAGCGTCAGCAGCGATGTAGGCCTCGACAGTGGCAGGGCAGCAGAGCGGTAGCCCGCTCTATCCGTATCCTGGTGGCTTCCTTCGTCCTCTGCTGGTTTCCCAACCATGTAGTCACTCTCTGGGGTATTCTGGTAAAGTTTGACCTGGTGCCCTGGGACAACACTTTCTATACCATCCACACTTACGTCTTTCCCATCACCACCTGCTTGGCACACAGCAACAGCTGCCTCAACCCTGTGCTCTACTGTCTCCTCCAGCGCAAGCCTCGGCAGGTTCTGGTCAGCTCCCTCAGGGACCTTTGGTCAAGGCTGTGGCCCCAGAGCAAGGCCTGTGTGGAACAAGTGGCCCTCGAGGAGGGAGACGGAAGATGGGCAGCCAGCACCCAGCAGAGTGGTCCTTCTAAGACATGCACAAACACAAAGGGACACCTGGATGAAGGATGCAACCTGGACACCCCCTTTCCTGAGACCTACCGCGGGCAGAACCCACAGATTCTGGGGAGACGGTGTTCTCTCTGCCAGGCTGCAGGGTCCCCAGGAAAAGTCTGATCTTTAGCCATCAACTCTGGGTGTGGCAGGACCTAGAAGCTGGGACCCAAGCAGAAGGTGGGAATGGCAAAGCTTGTCTCTAGAGATAGTAAAAAGAAACTGAGAATAAACCTCTGGTTCATCCACAGACTATCTTGACCTTTCATCCAGTAGCACAGGATAATGTCCCTTATGGGGTCTAGACTAACAGGTCAGAAATCCGTTCTTCCTGCCCACTGACTTCAAAAAAGGCATCCATTATGCCTCTTTGGTACCAAAACCAAGAATGCCTTCTCTGGCCACTTGGCTGTTTATCATCTCAGGGTATCCATAGAAATGATGCAGGCAGATGCCAGGGTAGGGCTTGCTGGGATCTCCAGTGCCTGTCAGGAGGTACTGGATGTTCAGCCTGGCGAGAATAGCGAATTCAATCAAGCATTGAAGGACACAATTACAATCGAAGGAAATGGGTGGGGATGACAGAGGTAAAAGGCCCAAGAATCAGAAACCAAAGGCTAGTTATTCACCACACACATCTGAGGTTTAGCAGAGGGTTAGCAGAGTGCCAGACAAATTACCTATGCATAGGTTTTCTTCTTTTTAAATTGAAGACAGGGTCTCATGTGACTCAGGCTAGCCTCAAACTATGTAGCTGAGGGTAGCTTTGAACTCTTTAATCTTGATCCAAATGCTGGAATTATAGGCATGTGCAAACACATTTAGCTTTGTAGCTTATTCTTGCCTTCTTTACTTTTTCTTCACTCTTGTGTGTATTCACACTTGCATACGTGAATACCAGAGGCAGACAAGGTCTCTTCTTCAATTTATCTGCTTTTTTGTTTTGTTTTGAGATAGGGTTGTACTACATAGCCCTGGCTGACCTGGAACTCATTGTGTAGATCAGAGAATCACCTATTTCTGGCTCCCAAGAACTGGGATTATGGGCAGGTGCCACCACATCTTGCTCTTATAAAAAGTATACTAGTTTGTGCTAGGAGACATGCTACCTGCATGTGGAGACAGAGGACAGCTTAGAGTTTGTTCTCTCCTTCCACCATCTGAGATTCAAGGATTGAATTTAGATTATCAAGATTGGTAGCAAGGACCTCTACCTGTTCAGCACTTTTCTTTATGGTTTTGTGTATGTGTGTATTCAGTCTGTATTAGTGTTTATGTATATTGGTGAATATTAGTTTGTTGCTTTTAGTTTTGTTTAATATATAATTTATTTTTAGCTTATGTGTATTGGTGTTTTGCCTTCATATATGTCTATGTGAGGGTGTCAAATCCCCTGGAACTGGAGTTTCAGACAGGCGTGGGGGGAGGTCATGTGAGTGCTGGGAATTGAACCTGGATCACGTGAAAGATCAGCCAGTGCTCTTAACCTCAGCTCTCTCCAGCCTCAGCTGAAACATTTTCTCAACCCTCCACAAGCTTTCGTTTTACAACTCAACTCTGTAGACCAGGCCGATTCAACTGTCTCCCAAGGGTTGAGATGAAAGGCATGTGCCACCCAACCCAGCTGTCAAAATACTTTTATTTGAAAAAGTTATGTATATGTGTGTGGGGTGAGTAGCCAGACACTAGCTCCTCTGAAGGATGGCTGTAAACTGTTCAGCACAGCATACTGGACACCAGATGCAGGTCCTGTAGAATAATCGATTAGCAAGCTCTCTCGACTGCCAAGCTAGCTCTCCAGGCTAGCTCCATCTTACTTCTGAGAAAGGGTCTCTCTCCCCCCGCCCCCCCCCCCCGACCTTGGAGCTGACTTAATGGCTTGATTAGCTGACCTGTGACGTTCAGGTGCTTCTGTACCTGGCTGATAAGTGGAACCATACTCAGGTCCTCATGGCTACATACCAAGTACTGTATTGAGCCATCTATTCAATTTAACTGTGTGTGTGTATATGTGTGTGTGTGTGTGTGTGTGTGTGTGTGTGTGAGAGAGAGAGAGAGAGAGAGAGAGAGAGAGAGAGAGAGAGAGAAAGCACGCTCAGATTGGCCTCCAACTCAATATGTAGCCAAGGCTGGCCTTGATTATAGATGGGTGCTGCTATGCTCAGTTTTCTAGAGCCTGGAATGTATCTCAGTTGATGGAATCTCTTAAATACAAGAACTTTCTAAACTACATAAAGAGTCCAGGACCAGCTTGGGTTAGACACTGTCTAAAAAATTTAAGGCCATTGAGGATTCAACAATGCCAGAGGCAGGGTTACTATTATTTACACCTTGGAAAGGAGGTAATAAGGACAGCTGACAGACAGGTACAAGGGAGCCCTAGAGGTATTGTCTATTATTTTACATGTCCTGGTATATGGAGTATAATGAAAATCTCACAGAAAAAAGATCTGGTTGCGAGGTGGTGGCACACGCCTTTAAAATCCCAGCACTCGGGAGGCAGAGGCTGGCAGATCTCTATGAGTCTGAGGCCAGCCTAGTCTACAGAGCGAGTTCCAAGACAGATGGAGCTGTTACACAGAAACCCTGTCTCAAAAAAAAAAAAAAAAAAAAAAAAAAAAAAAATCTGGTCATGCATACATACACAAAGCACATCATAGACAGACAGACATGATAAAATAATTTTTAAAGGACCAGCAAGATGGCACAACAGGGAAAACACATGATACACAAGCCAGGCAACCTGGGTTGGACTGCCAAATGCACATTAAGGTGGACGGAGAGACCTAAGTATGACAAGTTGTTCTCTAATCTCCACACATGTACTGACATGCATGTCAGCACACACACTACTTCTTCCTAAAATTAGAAACAATAACAAAAACAAATACAGGGAGATAGCTGTGGGTACAGTATGTGGAGGAAATGTGCCAAGTTCCTGACTTGAGATCAAGCTCTAGCACCCCATATTAAAAACCCTGGAAGGTCAGGTGCTGGTGGTGCACACCTTTAATCCCAGCATTCAGGAGGCAGAGGCAGGCAGATATCAGAGAGTTCAAGGCCAGCCTGGTTTACAGAGCGATTTCTAAGACAGCCAGGACTGTTACAGAGAAACCCTTGAAAAGCAAAACAAAACAAAAGCCCTGGATACAGTGGTGCCGGGCAGGAAGACGGGAGGATCCCTGAGACTCACTGGCCACTCTAGCCAAATCAGCAAGCTTTAGCTTCAGTGACATACTTGGTCTCAAAAACCCAGGTGAAATGCAACCAAGGATGAAACCAACATTAAGCTCTGGAAAGAGATGGGCACTAACCAAAGGGTCAGTCCTTCAACGCCCCCTTTGCAAGTCCTGAACAGAGGGTCCCCTTTGGTTTCTATCTTCCATCTTAAATCCATAATGAACTAAGATGTCTGTCAGGAAGGAGATTGCTGGGGCCTGCTTCCGGAATGAAGGGGAGGCAGCAGATGGATAGAGCTCCTATTCTATCCCCTCCTTCCAGGATCAGGCTCTGGGGATGCTTTGTAACCAGGATATGATTAGCCACTCAAAATCCCTGAATGGCAGTGCCCTGCGGAGGGGAAGCCACAATACCTCCAGGTGCCACCGACTGTTCCACCCAGTTGCCCAGGAGCCCAACTCACAACATATTAAAGGATGGGAACAAGATTTGATTAGCCTCTTGATGTTTAATTTCCTCTTTTTGATGATGTTTAAACTGGCTCCAAAACGCCAGGCCTATTCCTAGCCATCCAGGAAGGTGGGATATCCTCCCTACCTGTGCATTCTTCCGCCTGCTCCAGCAGCGCCTCTAATGGCCAGGCTGGGGCCGGATATTGTCTTCTCTGGGGGCATCTGCTTTACAGAACCCCAGGGGCAAATATTGACAAAGCCAACTCAAGTGACTGTGAGTAGCCCTACTTTTGATGGAGCAGGGTGGAGGAAAGAAGGGTGTGGCGATGGAGAGCTGAGCACCCAGGCCTGGAGCCTCCTCTGAGGAAGCAGTATGGTTTAGGCAAGGAGCTGAACCTTGGCTCCCAGAGCACACTGCCACAGAGGTTTGAAAGGGCAGCAACACTTATGACTTCAGGTTCGGCAACGGGGGTTATAGGGAGGGAAAGGTCAGGGGAGGGGAGGGGTGATGGCAGGAAAGCGGGACTGGCTCTGGGCTGATGATGGGGTGGAATTATAGTAATAAGGCAGCAGAAGCAACCCATCTTTCTCCAAACTCATACTCTGGAAATCAGTGTCCAGATCCGAGGTTTTTATCCTGGCTCCTCTGGGGAATATTTGGAGGCTGTATTTCTTTTCTCCAAACTCTACCACAGTCTCCTCTATCTGAAACGGGGTTACTGATCCATCAGGATATTTGAAACTATATGCTGCTGTTTGTAAGGTAGAGGACCAAGTAGAGGGCGTGAGGGCTGGCTTCTTGGCCTGGAAACTTTTCTGTACCCACAACAGAGGCTAGGCATACTGGCTCATGCCTATAATTCCAACATTGGGAGGCTGAGGCAATGACCAGTGTCCAAGGCCAGCCTGGGCTTCATTGCAAGACCTTGTCTCAAAAACAATAATAAAGTGAATAAATAAACATATAAAACAATCCTAGAGCCCAAGAATCCTGTGATTGGATAGAAAGTGCCTCAGAAGGGTCAGAGGCTGACAGGGGGCAGGTGCTGGCAGCTCGTCAGAGCCTGTGCCCATCCAATTTCAATTCTCTTTTTCAGTTAGGGTCCTGAGACCCTTCTCCTCACCCTGCCTCAGGGCCTATGTGTCGGGCCAAGAAGCAGGAAGTTCGATGAACCAAAACTGAACTGAAACCAGTTAGTGCCTTTCTGCGAGGCAGCGTGAACAGGGAACAGGCTGCTCCTCAGAGAACACAGCCCAGCTCCGACAATGCAGGAATGGGGGGGGGGGGGGCAGGAAGGGGGAAGGGACTAGATGGGTGGCAAGAGCCAGATGTGAAACCCAAGCATAGCATACAAATCAGATGCAAATGAGTTTCTAATACCGGAGTTGCTAACAGCCACTGGAGCCAGAGCCCTGCTTCATTTTCATCTTTGTAATTTTGAGATTTTCCACAAGGGTTTGGGCAGCTTCGTTTTTTAGTGCCCTCTTCAGTGAGGTAGTGACAGCCCCTTTATAGG